ATTGTTATTATTATTATTATTATTACTATCATTATTATTACTATTATTATTATTTTCATTATCATTTTCATCATCATTATCATTACTATCATAATCACTATCTATAATTGTTGATCTTACTTCTGATAATAATAATGACGATGTTGTTCTTGTTACTGCTGATGATGATAATAATGTTGTTGTTATTGTTGTCATTAATTCTAATATTGTAATATTTTTTTATTTTTATTGTTAATTAAAATTAATGAATAAATTTAAATAATAAAAATATTAACTTACCTTTGTCATCTGTTTCTTCCCATTCTTCTGAGTAATATCTAGTATCATTCAAAATCTTTTCAAGATCTTTCTTTAAATATCTTTTTATATACTTGTCCCCACCCTCTTTTATAAAGTCAACAGTCCACCTTCTTCTTTTTTTTTCTGTTAAAATATAAATATATATTTACTATACCCAATATATGTGTTAATTTATAAATTAAAAAAAAGGAACTTACATTACTCATTACTGTATTTTTTGTTGCACGTCTAAAATTTCTTTTTATAAAGTCTTCACCTTTGGTTTCAATATTATATTCATGATGTTGAGACCTATGGCGTCACTGTAACATTTGTACTATATCTGCAGACGTAACTTTATATCACTAGTCGAAAATTAATAAAACATACTCATATCGAGTAAACGATATGTGCATGGTATGTCCCTAATATTGGACGTATATCGGGTACCCAATAGGTATAAAAAATATTTTATATATATATTGGATACCTGATAAGTGTAAAAAAATATTTTCTACACCTATTGGGTACTCGATATATACCTGATATTAGGGACGTACCATGCACATATCGGGTACCCGATATGTATACGTTTTATCAATTTTTGACCAGTATATTTTTTGTTAATTTTTCTTTTTAATGATGATAGTAACTTCGTTAATATATCTTTCTGCACTTTCCAAGTTAATTCTTTTTGTATTTGATATATTGAGTAAAGATCAGAATTTGTTATAATAAACACTTCTCTCTATAAAATTAAATATTTGCATATTAATCATATACCCAATAAGTATAATAATATAAAAATAATTCTATATTGTACTTACTTTAATCCTATTGTATGATTTTTTATCTAGATGTTTGATACTTTCATTTTTATCTGACGAAGAAAAAGAATGAGAAGAAGAATGAGAAAAAAAATGAGAAGAAGATTCTGATGATGATGGTGATGACGATGATGATGGTGATGACGATGATGATGGTGATGGTAATGATGATGATAATGTGCTTTTATTCTTTTTATTCTTTTTATTCATAATTTCAAAATAAAGTATCCTAATTTGACAAATTCTATTAAATATATAAGATTATTAATTATAATTATAAATAAATAAAGTAGATGGTTTCTGAGAGAATTGGAACAAGAAGTCTACCCGCAAGTGTATAGCATTTTGGTTTTTTCGCCACACTGGAAGCTTTTTTCTTATACCGATTTTTATATCATTTTGCTTAATTTTTTTCGAGTCACACTCAAATGACATGTGATTTATTTTTTTGACCACATCTCAATATTACTACTCTGCTTGCTATAAAAAAAAAGCCCTGAAGGTGAAGGACTTTAGTCCTGAACCTGAGCGGGCTTTACCCCTGCAAGCTTAAATTTAATATTATTTTCTTTACTATTCTAATTCTCTTCTAAACCCCATTTAGTCTTCTGTTACTGTGAAACATGAACCCCAAAGGGGTGAATGCGAAATAGTTGCGGAGCGAAGTGGAGCATAGTTAACATATTAGCTTTCAAAATTGTTTTCAATATAAAATAGCTATATAAAAAAGACATCAAAATTTTTATCGATATAAAAAAGTCTAACCTCTAATAAAAGATTTTTACTTATTTTGCGGTTCTTTTAGAATATCTAATTTTTACTATCTCTCTCAACGTCCAAATCAATTATTATCATCATAAAGAATATAAAAGAATATCAAAAAGTTAGGACAAAGCTCTAATCTCATTATATATATATATCGAAAAAAAAAGTTGGGACAAAAGTCTAATCTCATATCTAGATTCGATTATTTTATATCCCGAATTCTATTCCAATATACTTTATATATAAAATCTAATCTCAATATACATATATATCGAAAAAAAGTTGGGACAAAATCTATCCTCAATATATACTGATATATCAAAGTTTTCTGCTCACCTAGAATCTAATTTTGAAGCCCCACCATGTAATCTAAAGAATTAAATAAAGATAATATAATAGAAATACAATGGCTAGAAAAGATAAAAAAAATCGTACTTGTAAATGTTGTGGTAAAACTCTTTCAACATCACAAAAGCTTCGTCAGCATTATACTAGTAATAAAATTCTATGTAAACTTTTTAATCTTGAGATAGAAGAAAATTCGGAATCTGAATATTATACAGCAGATGAAGGTCCAGATGAATATTTCTAATAAATTACTTATCTAATTACTTAATATTTATATAAAGCATCAACATATAATAAATTTTTTTTTGATATCGAAATAATTAATACATATACTGTTATATATATCGAAAAAAGTTGGGATAAAGTCTATCCTCATAGCTAAAATCTAATTTTGAAGCCCTAGCATGTAATCTATTATAGTACCAGACGGGGTTGACACTTATTACAATATTCCCCCTCTTCTATTTTTATCGGAAGTAAGCATTCTTTACAAAGAGTAATATTAAGATTTGTAAGCTTATCTCTATGAGCACCCATTATTTCCTCATAAGTTTTTTCTCGCATATTTGCAACCATACCTTTAATGATATTAATTATTTCTGCATAAGGTCTTTTTTGTATATTTGATCGAAGCCTATCATAGTATTGAGCAACATAAAATCCTCTAGTATGTAAAGGGCAACAATCAGAAATTGATCTAGTAGGTTTATCACATTCAATACAAGGTATTCTTCTTTTAGCTTTTCAATAATAACTACACCCCTCAACTTGTATACAGCTTCTTTCACAAACTTTACCGGAATTATGATAGAATGGGCAAGTATATTCACCAATTATTTTTATTATACTGAAATATTTATTTAAACAAAAACTTTTATAAAGTATTATATACAAAACTTTAAATAATCAAAACATAACACATATTCAAATGTCAACTACTATTCAAACTACCAATCAAATATCTACTGAGACTGAAACCTGTCTGCCAACATGACAAGATATCGAAAAATCAATAATCGATGTATTAAGAGCAGGTAATTTTTATAACAAAGATAGAAATATAGGATTCATGGATTATTATAAAAAGCATTTAGATGAATTACACAGATCTGAAAATCCAGATGAATATATTATAAACAAAGCTAAACAATTACTTCCTAATGAAGAAATATATGATACAAAATTAAAAGCATTCAGCAATTCTTATTACAAAAGTGAACCGAGAATTAGTCAAGCTATTTTAAAATATCTCAAATTAATTCATAAAATCGCTAAAGAGTATTTTATTATGGATGAGGAAAGAGAAGAAGAATTTCAAGCATGGCTTAATTCTTGAGTATCCATTTAGGAGGTAATTCTATATTGTTATTCACTAATAATAATTCTTCTCGGACAAAAGAACGTTTTGGATTATTCCCATCAATATCTTCAATTCAGTATAAAACTGGCTGATTTTTTTGTACCAGAGATTCTTTAATATGATAAATTTGAGGAGACCAATTACAATCAGTCGCTCTTCTTCTTCCACCTTCCAATTCACCAGGATTAAGTAAATATAAAACAGAATCACTATAAGTCAAACGAATTTCATCATATCCCATAGGGCCATATCTCGGTTTAGATGACTTGACATATACATGTTTTAATTTTCGAGCTTCAGCAGGGGACATATCAATTAATTACATTACAGTGTTATCAAGATTTTTAAAAAATATAGTCAGATCTGTAACCCAAGCTCTACAACGCTCTATTGGAGGTAACAATAACTCTACAGCATCTTGAATATAAAATACCCACTTCTGTAAAGTTTGATTAAATCTCTCAACTATACCTTGTCGTTTTTTTCAATTTGCTTCTATTAATTTCTACATTATACTTATTCATTAACTCCTCATATTTTCCGTAAAATTCTGGTTCAAAATCGGTTTGCAGTATCTCCAGTTGTTTAAGAGGAAAGTTGTGAAATTTAAAAAGTTTTATAAATCCTTTAGCAACACTATCAGAATCTCGATCGGTTAAAGGACAAACCCACTTAGTTTGACTTGCTATATCAACGCACATTAAAGCATATTTATAAATCTTGTTTCCAATTTTATCATGAGGTATATAACATAAATCAGCCTGTATAACTTCCATTGAAATAGTAATCTTATTAAAACTAACGCAAGGAATATACTTTGGTCGAGATTTATGAATTAAGTGTAATAATTGTCTTTCAAGCCATTCTTGAACTTCGGATAACGTAAAATCGAATTCGGCATTATGTGAAACATCATAAAGTTTTTTACTAGTCCTTTGATAGCCAGAAGGATGATAATAGATTTTTTGTAAATCGATAGATAT